TTTATAGCATCAGTGATAGTTCACGCGACAGCAGTACATTTTTTATTGGCTACATACACATGTCCACATGCCTGTCTATACATTGCTATTGGCTAAGCTAATTTTCACACACATATCTCTGCAACAGCAGGGTGCATGCCTTGCGATAAGCGGTACATTCCTTGTGGGCAGCAAGCTCCTGCTTCAACGTTCTGTTTGCATTTTTTTGACTCCAGCCCTCCTCAGCTCTGCTGAGTCACAGAAAGTTCAAGGCTGTCTCACTCGACTCCAACTGGGTTGTGCAGGCCTTCATGCGAGTCAGAATTTATGTTACCCAGCCCTTCATAATTCATATGCCCACGTTCTGCTAACCACTGTGCCACAGGAACTTCACCTGACTGCCATGATTTTTCAAATATGATGGCCAGCGCCTTAGCAACTTCATTCGCCAGCTCCTTCAGGACCCTCGGATGGTAACGAGTGGTGACCCTCAGGGATCAGTGTTGGGACCCGTCTTGTTCAACATCTTCGTCGCTGACATGGACAGTGGGGTTGAGTGCGCCCTCAGCAAGTTTGCCTATGACACCAAGCTGTGTGGTTCGGTTGATATGCTGGAGGGAAGGAATGCCATCCAGAGGGACCCTGACTTGCTTGTGAGGTGGGCTGATGCCAACCTCATGAAGTTTAACCATGACAAGTGCAAGGTCCTACACCTGGGTCACAGCAATCCCAGGCACAGCTACAGGCTGGGCAGAGAAGAGATTCAGAGCAGCCCTGCGGAGAAGGACTTGGGGGTGCTGGCCAATGAGAAGATGAACATGAGCCAGCAGTGTGCGCTTGCAGCCCAGAAAGCCAACTGTATTCTGGGCTGCATCAAAAGGAGTGTGACCAGCAGGTCGAAGGAGGTGATCCTGCCCCTCTATTCTGCTCTCGTGAGACCTCACTTGGAGTATTGTGTACAGTTCTGGTGTCCTCAACATAAAAAGGACATGGCTCTGTTGGAACAAGTCCAGAGGAGGGCCACGAGAATGATCAGGGGACTGGAGCACCTCCCATATGAAGACAGGCTGAGAAAGTTGGGGCTGTTGAGGCTGGAGAAGAGAAGGCTGCGTGGAGACCTCATAGCAGCCTTCCAGTATCTGAAGGGTCCTATAGGGATGCTGGGAATGGACTCTTCATTAGGGACTGTAGTGACAGGACAAGGGGTAATGGGTTAAAACTTGAACAGGGAAGTTTAGATTGGATATAAGGAGGAAATTCTTTCCTGTTAGGGTGGTGAGGCACTGGAATAGGTTGTCCAGGGAGGTTGCAAATACTTCATCCCTGGCAGTGTTCAAGGCCAGGTTGGACGAGGCCTTGGCTAATATGGTTTAGAGCGAGGTGTCCCTGCCCATGTCAGGGGGTTGGAACTTGATGATCTTAAGGTCCTTTCCAACCCTAACTATTCTATGACTCTATGATTCTATGACTTGTGCATGTTCAGGTTTTTAAGATGGTCTCGAACCAGATCCTCTCCTACAGTGGGCCCAAGGTCTCCATTCTCACAATGCCTGCGTCTGCCTTCCAAGACTTGGGTGGCGCGGTCAGAGCATTTGCCAGTGAAGACCAAGGTAAAGAAGTCATTCAGAACCTCAGCTTTCTCCAAATCCTGTGTAGCTAGTTCTCCCGAGATCTTCCAGAAGGGATCTACTTCTCCTTAGTCTGTTTTTTATTTGCTATGTACCTGTAGAATCCCTTCCTGTTATCCTTAATATCCCTAGCCAAGTTTAATTCTAACTGGGCCTTAGCTTTCCTAACTTGGTCCCTAGCTTCCCAGACAAAATCCCTGTACTCTTCCCAGGCCACCTGTCCTTGCTTCCACTTTCTGTAAGACTCTTTTTCCATTTGAATTTTCCTCAGCAGCTCCTTATCCACCAAAGGAGGTCTCCTGGCCCTCCTGATGCACTTCCTTCTAGTTGGGAGGCAACACTCCTGAGCTTGTAGCAGGTGATCCTTGAATATCAACCAAGAGTCTTGCCCCCCCCCCTCCCAGGGCTATATCCCATGGAACCTTACTAAGCAGGTTCCTGAAGAGGCCAAAGTCTGCTCTCTTGAAGTCCAGGGCAGTGAGCTTGCTCCATCCTCTTCTCACTATCCTGAGGATCTCAAATTCAACCATCTCGTGATCGCTGCATCCAAGGCTGCCCTGGAGCATCACATTTCCAACCATCCCTTCCCTGTTGGTGAGCATGAGGTCAAGCATGGCACCTCTCCTTGTCAGCTCCTCTATTACTTGCAGAAGGAAGTTGTCTTCCACACAGTCGAGGAACCTTCTGGATTGCTTGTGCCGCGCTGTACCGTCATTCCAACAGACGTCAGGGTGGTTGAATTCATCCATGAGAACAAGCGCCTGTGAGCGTGAGGCTTTTCCTATCTGTCTATAGAGTGCTTCATCCACAGATCCCTCTTGATCAGGTGGTCTGTAACAGATCCCCACAGTAATGTCTCCCATCGCTGTTTTCCCTTTAACCCGGATCCACAAACTCTCTGTTAAGTGCTCACCTGTCCCCAGGTGGAGTTCCACACTCTCCAGCCCATCCCTAACATAAAGGGCAACTCCCCCTCCCTGCCTGCCAGGCCTTCTTTTCTAAAGAGCCTGTAACCGTCCATTCCAACACTCCAGTCATAGGAGCCGGGGGGGTGGTGGGGGGGGAGTCTTCCAAGCAGCTGACAAGTACAGTTTAAGTGACTGAAAACAAATCAATTGACAGTGGGAAGGCTGTTTTGTGAACCATACGCCATCAGGCCAAAGACAGGAGCAAAAGCATGCTCCCTGTGGATAGTGGGCAGGGTAAACTTTCCATTCTCACATTCAAGCAGAACTACAGAGCCTCTGTGCCTTACCCTGGTACGGGGCACAAATACATCATGAGAACATCAACATAAACTCACATGGAGTTTTATGCAGACAGTGCAACTGCTTCTGGAGTACAACAGTGTCCCCGAGGAGAGGAAGAGAATCACAATGTAGTCCTTAAATTGTACAATGATGTTAACAAACGTCTGGCATAATTTTAATAGCTCGTTCAATTCACAGTCATAGCTTATGGAAGTTATTAATAGAAGAGCTCAGAAGACAACCACAAGTCAGCACTGTCTCCTGGATCCATCATATATTCTTCAGTAAGTTAGAGCTGTGGAATAAAGTAACTGACACCTGATAATCTTCTCATTGAAAAATTTATTAATCCAGCATCAGTAACAGCCATAAACTATTCTCAGTCAGAGTTTTTCCACTGAAATATTAATTGTATAAACAGATCAAGAGCACTAAAAGCTACTAAAAGCTTTAAATTCATTCCTGCCATTTAACCCCAGTTAAATACCTCCCACCTTTAAATCTTTTGTATTTCTTCTTTTCTGCTTCCCTCCTCGCCTATGTCACCTTGTGCAGACACTTTTTGCCATATTTAAAAAACTGCTTCCTGACTTGAGAAAGTTGAAGGGGTTATGCATTCCTCTCTTCCCCTTAGTCAGCACTATGTAACCCTAAAACAGTGGTTATTTTTCAAATAGAAAAGATAATCACAATTTTGTTTCAAGAGTCTAAGAATTTAAGACCATTTGACTTAACACTCATGAAGTTTTACTTTAAGACCATTGAGTGCAACCATTAAAGGTTGATGCCCTCCCTTATTAAACTTTCAGCCATGTAACAGCAAACCTCACTCACCCTAGAGCAGATACTGCAATAGACAGCGGCTGCAAGAAGGTGTCAAAGACTAACTTTCCAAGCTAACCAGACCTAAAGAAATCTCACATAGCAAATCCCTGTGAAAAGCACCACCAGAAAGGTTCAAGAATTGTGTTGCATTCAAAAGAAGCTGCAGCTAAATTTTGAGTAAAATATGATAGCATCTTTATTTGGCATAGGGACTGAAAGAGGAACTCGAATTCACAGAAAATGAAATCAGCTGTGAATTCCACCTGCCCCCTGACAAATAAAATACCCAAAAGTACAGTATCTGTGAAATGAAAAAACATCTGACATGCACAGATTATCTTAGTCCCTACACTTCATTATTCTAATGACAATAGGATAAGACAAACAGTCTTATTAGAACAGCTTCAGACTGTGTTAACTAGTATGACTTGAAGAAAATGGAGGAATTTCAGCTTCCCAAAACCAACAGTTGTATCATACAACTATCCTCTCAAAGTGTCTGAGGAACCATCTTGAGGTGTCTTCAGATAAGAACAATATGTGTACAAAAAAATGTTTCCAGAGGAAAAAAAAACATATTAACACTGTGTAACCATGTTACTAGTATCTGTGTCTCCACTACTTTACTGCCAGACATAGCTGCCAAATCCACTCTATAACAGTTATTTTTAAAACATAACCAAACTTTAATCCTTTTTAAAATATCACAGATTAATTGGCCTGTAAAAATGCCAGACAACCAAATTTCTGGGTTTACTGAGCAGTCCCAGCTTTCTAATTTATCAATGAAGTCATTTTTACACTTGTAACTTGGTGCTCTTACACAGACCAAATCTCTACTACAAATCTCTACACTCTACTTTAAAATGATACTAACAGTTTACTTAAATTTTAGCACATTACTATTTAGATTGTTGCATCCTACACAAATAGAGATTACATTTTAAAACTGTAGTCTAGAAAGCGACATTACAAAGACACTCCCGCTGCCAGTGTATGACGGATTAGATCTGTTCTTAGTAGTGACTGTTCACAATACGTATAACCTAACCTAAACAAGTACCTTGCATCTATAATGCAGTATTTTCCACAGATTGTGTGATATAATATGATTCATACTCAGTCTGGGGATATGTATTTAGCACTTGCTTAGATTCATGCAGAAAAATGTTCCCTTCAACCTTTTAAAGAGCATCTTGAGAAATGATGGTTAAACTCTAATTTACACTAATTATAGGTTAAATTCTAATGTACGCTAAAGTAGGCTTTGAAACAGACATTAAAACAAAAAAAAAAAAGAAGAAGTCTGGTTACCTACATTGTTTATGTATTCAGAAAGCAGGTCTTGGAGAGCTTGGCGGATAGCATTGCATTCAGCAATGATGCGTTCTCGATGAAAATCACGCGTGCAGGAAGAATCAGCTAGCAAAGCTGCTCCACTGATAATAGCTTCCAGACGTTTCTCTAGTGATGGCCTTATTTTCTCTTCATTCACTACAAGAGGATCCAGGATAATTAAATTCTGGAAAATAACAGGAGTACAGGTAAGAAAAGTCAGCCCAGTTAAGTTGTCGCTTTTTTTTTTTTTTTTTTTTACCTGCATGAACACAGAATCAGAGTGGTTAGGCCTGGAAAGGACCTTAAGATCACCTAGTTCCTACCACCTGCCATTCCACTAGATCAGGCTGCTCAAAGCCCTATCCAGCCTGGCCTTGAACACTGCCAAGCATGGAACTACAGGGATTTTATGCTTTCTAGACTCGCAACAAGACCTTTCTGCTTGAAATACTTAAATTACCTTTGACCATAGCAAATTCCATTTTCCTTACTGGGGCTATGCATACAATCGTGACACTGTGTATGAGTTTACTACTCAGTAACATTCCATATTTTATCCAAGTATCTCAGGCCAGGCTGTCAGCTTTGTTTAAAAGAGAGGTTCAACACCCCAAAAATTTAGTCTTTTAGAGATCAGGAGGGCCTCTTTATTTAACACAAAACCAGCACTGCTAGCTTACAACCAAGAATGTTAAATCATATTATATGAGCAGTCTAGTTCTGCTGATTTTTAGTCTGATAGAATCCCACACTGTGACAGAAAGTCATTGCTGCTACCTTTAAGAGACTGAATATGGGCAAAAAACAAAATAGTAGCTGTTGTTCAGCAATTCTGTTTTTTCAAAGGACATAGATATAAGTGTCCTTTTGCTTTTCACTACCTAGGGTAAACAAAAGCATCTGCCACTCTGGCATAATAAATTAATTACATTTATGCGTCAAGCAAATCATCTAAAGAAAAAGTGGTGATATTTTCATGAAATGTGAAAGTAAGTATATTCAAGCTTCAGCATTTCAAGAAATTCAAACTAGTAATTTTTTATCTAACTGAACATTTGAAACATTGTCATTACTGTCAAGACCACCAAGCCTATATTCCATTCAAATCCATTCATCTATTAAACCCATATGTGGTTCCAAGCTTTCAGAGAAAATATTAAACAGGCAAACTCTGCCATATACCCTTAAGTGGAATTTAGGTCAGGTCAATCAGAACTTATCTGTGTATATCCAGTATGTACCAGACTACTTTTAAGCTAGAGAATTTTAATTGTATTTTTAATTTAATGTCACAATTTCAGGTACTGTCTAGCTTAGGCAATTCTAAGAGCAGTGAGTGTTCTATCAGAACATCATAAGATAAAAGCTTAAAAAGCTAGGAAAAAGGACTTCAGTTACCTTGAAACTTTCTTGTTGGATATTATTAACATGCTCTTACATGCTAGGTATGATTTAGGGAAAGGAAGATTTTGTTACATTTCCAATCCTCACATGTCATCTGAAATGTACAAGAATTGTTTTCAGACAGCTGGGTGATTCTCCAGAAAAACTAGAGAAAAATCAGATTTCATAATCTGAGTATTTCCAAAGGAAACCAGTGCAGGTTCTTTCTACATTACGGTGTCGTTCAAATGGAAGCTTGTATTTCCCAACTTGCAAGCTCAGTGTAGGTTTCTAAACATTCCACCTCCACTAGTCTTCCACTGCTCTGAAGTCCTTCATCACACTTAAAGCATTCGAGTTATTTAAGTAGTTTCAGCACTTTGACCCCATACTTACTACCTATTAACATACATACTGGAACATAAAACATACTTGTTGAAGCAAGTCCAGAGGAGGGCCATGAGGATGATAAGTGGGATAGAGCACCACTTATATGAAGACAGGCTGAGAAAGTTGGGGCTGTTCAGCCTGGAGAAGAGAAGGCTGCATGGAGACCTCACAGCAGCCTTCCAGTATCTGAAGGAGGCCTACAAGGATGCCAGGGAGGGACTCTTCATCAGGGACTGTAGTGACAGGACAAGGGGTAATGGGTTTAAACTTAAACAGGGAAAGTTCAAGTTGGATATAACGAAGAAGTTCTTTAATGTGAGGGTGGTGAGGCACTGGAACAAGGTGCCCAAAGAAGTGGTAAATGCTCCATCCCTGGCAGCATTAAAGGCCAGGCTGGACAGAGCCTTGGGCAACAGGGTCTAGTGTGAGTCATTCCTGCCCATGGCAGAGGGGCTGGAACTAGATGACGTTAAGGTCCTTCCCAATGCAAATGATTTTGTGATTCTATGAAATAAAATCAGTGGACAGTGAGCCTTCTTAACTTCTGTAAGACCTTCTGTGGCCTGAAGTTCTAGGATTATGTTATGCTTTGTATCAGAAACTGGGACTACATGAACTCTAGCCCTCAAATTTCTATGGATAATGACGAGAAAGAAAAGGTACTAGCGAAATTCTGTCTGTCTCCACATTTTCCATATTAAATTTTGGAATTTTCATACCATTGCAGTGATACTGCTAGTACAGTTTTCTGTCGTCTATATTATGAGAGAATAAAAAGTCTAAAACTAAGTTTCAGCAACTGAAACGATAGACCTTTAAAAGGTTTATGAGTCTGTGTCAGGTGTTTATGCACATCCAGCAGATGCAACCATAGACTAAAGTATTAAGCATGTACTTCAAAACTCCTGGATTTTCTCAAACCAATGGTCACCTATTCAGATACACATATATACTGAAGAGGAGTTCATATGCAAGCAGAAGGGAAAGAGCATAAATATTTTGAAGATGAAAACCAGAGCTGTTTGTATATCCATAAAAGCAACATACTAACCCCCTATTTGTATCTCTTGATTATTTCCTAATTGAAAGATCATGGAAACATTAATCTCACATGCAATTTTGAAACCAAAGCCAAACTGGGATGGAACAATAATTTGCTCAGTCACAAAGACAAAAACAAAGGAAACAGGTAGTCTACTGCCTCCATCTTCTTTTGTGGAAGAAGTTGAAGCCAGTTAAGAACTACTTGGTAGCTACAAAAAATTCAACTTCTGCACTCTTTGGGACAGAGAGAAGAAAAGCTGAAATTTTGTCAGTACCTGGCAGACCCTGCCAAGACTAAAATCCAAAGAAAAGAAAAAGTGCTTGGATAGAATAAAGACGGCTTGCTCTTCTACTCTGAAACATCACCATATACCCTAACCTCCTGCTGGCAGTGGGTGAAGCCAGACTGGCTCTCCCAGACAACAGCACAGAAAGTCATTTTGCTTTAGTGGGCAAATTCTTAATTATCAATGCCTAGAGTCAGGTCTGATAAGAGCAGTAATACAGATCTTCATTTTGGCATGAGAAGCCTTCATTTTTTGTAATACTTTCACAGAAGAAAGAAAATGTACTTGAAGACACTTTTCTGGAAGGCTGAAGGTAGTGAGGCACTGTTTTTTTTTCCACAAAGATAGTTCAGTGACACATTAAGAGGACTAGTATCAGGCATCCATTTTTGCCTCATTTCTTCTCTTTCTGGAGCTTTCTTACAACAGTAAGATTACACGTAAGTGTAAAGAAAAACTGCACTCAGCTGGAGTCAAGGTAAGTTACTATATGCCTCAAACACAATATGCATTACATGAAATTATGGAAACGCAGTAAAGGAATTCTTTGCACAGAAAAGCTAAGAAGTGCCATGAAAGACTGAATTGCAGCTGAAATTAACTCCTTTCAGCTGTCACCTAAGAAAGAATGCATAACTTTAAAAATAGAATCAGAATAGTTCTCAGCAGTGGGGACTTCATTACTTTGGCTATATCCAAAGACACAGCAAAATTAAAAATAAGTTTTGACTACCATATTGATACAGATTTGTAAACTGCATAAAACTACTCATTAATGTTTAAATACTTACATTTTAAATATATATATAATAATAACTTATTACACCCAATAGATAGTTCTAAACTAATCTTATACATAAAAAACTCAGACTCATCCACAATGGTCTAAGAATAACACAGGAAGGCATTTTAAGATACAGTCAGTTCCTAGAGGTCAGGACATTCATTCCTGATGTGGAAGGCAACTTTATTTGTGGTAGAGATCTGAGATTCTGTCTCCCTCATTCACATTACAGTCCTTAATACCAAAGTGTTCTGTGCACCTCACCTCTACTGGAGTTGTGCCACTTGGTTACTATTTATTGGAGCAGCAACTTCACTCTTGTGCACTTACGTCTCAAGTAAGCACCCTTAATACTAGGCTATACATAAAACTTCCATAATAATGTAAAACACACCTGCCAAGTAGAGTATTTAAGTGTTACTACAAAAAGAAACAGCTTCAAAGTGTTGCTACAAAAATAAACAATCGTGGAAGACTAAGACACACCTGAAGGCTACAGCCAATTAGCCATTTAGCAAAATTACTGCCTTCAAATTTCATACAAAATGTAAGAAGAAATGTATTCTTTAGGAAGTTCATGCAAAGATGGACAAATAATAATAAAAAAACTACTACAGTTCAACTCTAAATTAAAAAAAAAAAATCCAGGCAATAATAACAAGGAAAATAAGATTTAAGATTCTGCTCACAGATTAAATACTTCAAGCAGTTTCATCAAATATTTATGACAGATACATCTACGCAGAAAAAACACTCCAATTTCCAACCGATTAGAAGACACCAGATATGCAATTAGCAGTATCATGGTTTTGCTTTAACAGGGCTAAACAGTGGTTAGCTACCTCAGTTCTTAAGGACAATTGGACATTTAAAAGGAGTTTTTAGATCAGTATTTTCTCCCTCACTGGTCTTCTGATGCATGAAAAAGAGAGATCATGGGTATCTACAAACCTTATATTTCCTGAGGGTTTGGACTGATTTACCGTATTTTAACATCTCCTGTGTAATTTCTCTGCTAGATAGCCAACATCTTTAAAGGACCACATATCAGATGAATATAGTGACGGAGAGTCAGACATGAAGACTTGTATCGTTTTGTGAGAAATCTCATATTCAGAAGATGCAAGACCAGTGAAAGACATTAGATAATGTACACTCTTTTAACACAAATCTTAATATGCAATTAAATTCATAATGCTATGATTTTGTGTTTATTTATGAAAAAATGGTAGTTATACGGAGCTTTTAAGAGAAATTCTTGAGAATCTACTGATTTAATTAGCTGCTCTAATTTTACTGACAGTTTCCTCACCTATAAATCTGTAATAACTTTCACCCCACTAGCACTGGCAAAGGAAGAATGACATTGCAAAACATCTAGATACTGGACTGTTGGTTAAGCTCCATGATACATTTCCACACTGTAAACATTTAATGAGATTTGCTCTTTACTAGATTTGTGATTTACTACAATCTATCAATCTATTTCATGGCACTGTATTTGGCATAAGAAGACAGAGAAAAGTTTATTTCAGGTCCTTAGCCAATAGAACTTTCTGTGAAGAAATAGAAGTGCAACCATCTAATTCATAAAATCATCTTAAGAAGTTAAATGCTCTATAAATTGTGCTTTCTCTAACCCCCCCAGTTTCAATTCCCAGTTGTGCTACCTAGGTAAAAATACATTTAGAACTCCATAAACAAACAGTTTTTACAACAGTTAGACTTCTATGTTCTTACGTTTCCGGATATAAACAAATTCAATCCAAAAGACTTTTTTTCCCCCCATTTTGTGATTATTGCAAATCTTAAGCACTTTAAAACAATAATAAATTTAATTCATTTTTAAAAATCATTAAAATGGCACTGCTTACATACAGTCAAGATGAATTAATCTTCAGTCATAAGATGCAATCTTTTTGCCAAATTTAGGTTAAAAATTTTTAAGTAAAATAGGTAAATAACAGCTTTCACCTAAGATACATGATTTGTCATTCAGAGTTTCATGTATATAAATCATGTATTACTCTTAAAAGTTTACCTTTTTCTTTCGTTTATCAAGAAAATAGATTAGAAACTGTAATATTAAAGCCCAGTGTGAGAAGCATGGAAGGATGACATATGACGTGTAATTGGAGTCTATTCCTTTGGGGAGAAACTTTGAGCATGACTGAGAGGTCTGTTTTGATCAATAAACTGCCACTATAAGATTTGAGTCATATTTCAATGTATTTCTCTAACCTTTCATTGAAAATCTCAGTCAAATTCTATTGCTATCAGTCAAAACATTAATCCTCCTGAAAATGTATCAACAAAGTTTGCGTTCTAAGTGTGATATCTGGAAAGTCTGAGAATTTACAACCAAAAAGACCCATATCTGCAAAGGTGTTTAGAAACTTTTAATTCCTTTTTTGTTGATCTGGGCCTACATCGGTTACACCAGATGAGAAGCATTGTTGGCAATCTCATCTACAGGAGATTTTTTACCATTTTGGCAATGAAAAATAACACTGGTAAGAGGAAGAGCAGCTGTGAGAAAAGGGGAAAGCTCTGTACAAAAGCTGGGGATCAGGCCAGGAGTAAAGAAAGAACTACCTGCTCAAAAAAACTGTTTTAATATTGCAAGTAGAAAAGCAGAATTTGTGAAAGCATATTGGTTATGTCACTTTATTTAATAATAAGCAAAAACATAATTAGGTTTCTAAATCCTTCAATTATATAAATTATATAATGATCCAAATGAGAAGTTTTGGAGTAAATGCTTTCAACTTGTGTTGTACCAACTGGAATACAGTCATGGTAGCAGTGATCGCCATCATCTGATAATCACTTATTTGTAAACTAAATTCATGGTTTTGCCCATTTATTCAAGGACCTGTCAATCTCCATCATTAGTGATGCATTTGGAACTTTCCTGCTCTTTGGATGAAGCTAAATATTGAACATACATGAAGACTTAATTCCAAACTCTTTTGAAGGAAGTGATCCCTCACAATGAAATAATGTATAGTCATAGTATTTAGACTAGGACTACGCAGAGCATAAATTTCTAATGCCGTGAGGTCCACCACTTATGACAGCAATAGTTAATTAAAAAAAAAAAACCAAACAAACTATTTTTCAAAAAATGTTTTCGTTTCACAGGTTTACATACCTCGAGCTCATCAAGTGCACTTCCAAGAGTAGCTGCACGAGATGTAGGTTGTCCCACTTTATTTCCAACTCCTTGGGAAGCATTAGAAATTACACTGAGAGCATTCTGTATTTCATTGCAAATTGAATCTTTGCTGGCTGATAGGGATGCAACATCTGAATGTTCCAAACAAGCTGAACATATTGAATGTAGGAGAGAGGAATTTTCCTTCAGGGTTGCACGTGCTGCAGCAATTTCATCTCGCTGATTGCTGGATTTCAAATCCTGTCAGCAAAAGAATATGTTGTTTACCTCCAAAAGCACTTCAGAACTGACAGGTAATGTATAAACAATTTTTTTCTATCTGTTTAATGAAACATCAAGTTGAATTTATCAAAGATTGCGAAAAGAGAGTACAATAGTGTTTACAATTGAAGCGCCTTTATATCACAAGAAATGAACAAAGTGTGTGTAAAATAACCCCAATTTTTGTTGTCTGAACTGTCCATATTTTTCTTATTTTTAAGCACAGTTCTGCTATGAGAAAACTGGCCTGGAAATAAGCTGTCTTTTCTCCCAGACATGTTTTTCTTTCTAAGCAATAGAGAAGGACAAAGGTGTAAAGAGGGTTAGGCAAGGAATTCTGTGATTGTTCCATCAAAACAAATCTGTGTTTGCTTCCCTGCCCCACCAGCATATATTCCAAGCATACTGCAGAAAGGAACAGCAGGTCAGGGATGAGAATCCTGTATTCCTGGGAAATAGGAAGTATGAAAGGTGTGGAAATGAAAATAGTGCTTGAGAGAAGCCATCTCCTGGAAGTACCACTACCTGTTTTTCTTCTCTCCCTGCTATGTACATACTTAAAACACTCAGGTCTCACCATATTCATCTTGTTTCTCCCTTCTCCACCCAGATCTTCTTGATACGTTACTTCCTCCTGCCAGCCCAGACAATAAGGAACGCACAGCTCAACAGAGCTGCCAAGTCAGATTCAACTGTTTCTAGGAATCAAGATTGGGAGCTGTTATTCGGACAGATGAAAGTTACGGACTTTAAGACAACCATACAGTCAGCATCAGAATTCTAAGGAGCCTCCTGTCTTATCCTATTTTACTCTAGATATTCTTCCCACTCTCCTTCTGTATCTTGTCCTTTGAAAACAAACTAGTAGATATTTGCAAAATGGGTTGTGTGAAGGAGACAGTTAAATTCAGGGCAAAAACATAAAGCAAGGAAAAAGACTGCATCAGAACAATAAAAAGCCTGTGGCACCAATTTCAAATAATGAGAAGAGGCACAATGAAGAATGAACAACAAAATGCATACAAAACTGCTCATGGCCTGCTGTAAAGCAAGCTGAAGTCTTTCTAATTATTCTCCTTTGCATTGCATCAGGCTCTAATATGCATTATTTATAAAAGCATCCCAATATCCACTTTTCACTGCATAAGTTTATAAGTTTATGGCTGAAGAAAAGAGCATTCAATATTAAATGAACCAGTCTTATGTTTTTAAAATCTTGTTTACTTTAAGTTATGCACTGGACATCAGACTGTGTCTTACTTCCTCAGGGTAACTTTGAAATCTCAGGGATATGGTAAAAAATAAACAAAAAAACCCAAAACCAAAGCACCACAAATGGGAGAGGGGGAGGGAGGAGTGAGAGAGAGAGAGAGAAGTGGAGCCTTAAACATAAGCAGAGAGTTGTTAACCAGCTGATCATTTGAATTAGAAAACTGACTTACTTTCTTGGGTATATTAGTACTTAAAATATTTTTACATTTTCAGCAAACCAATATATAAATGAATCACCACTGTGCAAGAATGACGTCATTGCCCAGTGTGCTCAAATGCGAATATTAGTGCACCTCCAACCTTGGTAAAGCAACTGCAATTTAATCCAGTGCACTCTCAGCAAAAAGTGTTATTTATTTTTTAACAGAATCTCATTTTACCTTTCCTACAATTAAATTACAAGACAACAGAATGCCCTCTTTCCTCTTGTGCTGCAAGGAAGCCGCAGACCTAGAGTTACAATGGTAAGTTGATAAAACACTTCAGTCTAGCTGCCTTCTACACTTAAACATTTCTTACTTTGCTGTGTCATATGCAAACAAACTCAAAAGTCCTTCCAAATTACTTTTTCCTTCTAAAACAGTACTGTCTAACAAGGAAATGAGGTGTTCTTAAGATATAAAAAACTGGAAATCCAGTAGCAGAAAACCAGTAATGGCAAGTTATATGACATGGCATCTGGAAACAGCCCATGAACTCAATGCATTAATGTTCCTAAAGCACAGACTGTTTTGTTTCACGCGATATTGTGTAGAGTTTCCGAAACATGGTATCATGGTACTGGCAAATTCACCTACAAAAAGCCTTGCCTTTGTTCAACAATACTTAAATAGTTATTGAGTAATTAAATACTTAATAATACTTAAAAAAAAAAAAAAGTTTAAATCCAATAAACTCATCACTACTTTGCTGTTCAGTTGTGAGCCTTGAACAGCCCCGAAAGAAACTGTAGGGCCATTTTTCTTTTCCACATTGATTAATAATTAATTCCTTGAAATTATTCATGTGAACAGGAAGAGGCATCTGATAATCTTAGTCTGAACTTCTGCAAAATTGGCCAAAAAAAACCCACCTAAAATCAACTGATTTCTCTATAAAATCTTTGCATATGTGGATTATCAGATTAATGTAACTAGTTCTCTAAAGAAAGAAATTAGTCTCTACAAACAGATTATTAATCCATAGTCCATAAACTTTTTCCACTGGAGATTAAAATACAGAAACAACCTGATTCCTATTTTATTTGTCAAAGAAAATATACCACTAGGAAACACAAGAAACTCAAACAGGTCCTCTTCACATACTGAACCTTGCCCAAAGTTCATACTACATTACCTTTGATACAGAATACAAGAAGACAACATGTTACTCAAGTATGGGAAAGAATCATACAGAGGAAAAAGTATGTACGTATAGGACTGAAATACTAGTAAAATATGGCACCAGAAAAAGAGGAACAGGAGAATGCAAACTAAAACCACGTTTTTTGTTACTCTGAGATTGTTGTAAACATGGATCATCATTCACCTGCAGAGAGGCAAAAGACAAACAGGACTACAGAGAAGACATTTCTCAAATCAGTTCTTCTTACTACTCTCTTCATACCATAACACCTGAGCATCTGTAGTTCATCCAACTACATTACTGAGCTTTAGTCTGTTTTTCTTCAGTCTACCACTTTACTCCTACTCAAACTTCTTTTTATGCTAGTGGACTATTTCCACTGGTCTGGGATGTGTTCTTATATACTCAGTCAGCAGCTGAGTTCTAGATACACCACATCAGATGAGCTGAGATCAAGGATAATCCTGTTTCCAACCATTGCCAAACTAAGAGGGCCAGTATAGTGATAATTCCCCAGGCTGCTGTCCCACACCTCCCGGGATGTACTATTATGTCTTCGTCACCATACCTGGTTGCCTCTGATAAGAGTGGAAAATGAACTGATAGTCACAGATTTCCAGCTGTGGCTTGTTCCAGCTAAATAGGATGTATGAACAAGAAGACTTTGAATGTAAAACTTGAAAACTACTTTCACAGTTAAACTTCAGTGGTACTACTTCACTGAGAGTTAGAAAAATCATAATCTGCTCTTTATAACACTTTTAAGGTCTGAGAGCACGATACACCAGGAACCCAGCTCTTGTTCACTGTGCATTCCTATCAGCACAACTCATGAGGTCCAGGCCTCACTATGGGTATAAATCACACTGCTGTATTTTACATCTGCTGGAGTCAACACAAGGTTCACAAAGGCAGCTTCAAATAAAGTGTGCTGCAGTCCTCTAGCTCACTCTTTGCAGAGACATATGTGATTGACTGAGTTTTATATCCAGCAAAAACACAGACATAACAAACTCCCACAATTTCATGCTACTATATGGCTGGGGGACAAAAGCATTACTTTTTATCACAGCTTAAACTTGGTCTTCAGCTTCAGCTTTCTGTCAAAAATGACAGCTAAATTATGCGTATTTAGTGAATCAAAAGACAACAAAGCTCAAACTCTTCCAAGTGCATTCATGAACCATTTATTGGGGTAGGGCTCCAGTTTACGTATTTCATAAATATATATATTCCTTTTTCTAAAAGATAAGCATTTACCACCAGCAGGGATCACCTTTTACAAACTCTATTATAAAGGAGATTCTGCCTACTCTAGAAAAGGCTAAATTTACAGAAGTTGAAAAGCATGACCTAAGGAACCCTCCATGTAAAGCTTTTAGCTATAGATCTGATGACCTACAAAAGTGACTGTAACTGTACAAAACAAAGATTACAAATACACACTGGGAAAAATGCCTGACATAGGATACTGACTTTCTTAGAACAAATGAAACATCGCTGGATCACAGAACTGTACTACACTAACTACAAAAGGTCACCTTACATGCATTCCCACCAAGTTAACCATTCAGAAGGTATGGCAGTAAATTAAGAAGAGCACTGAATCTAAAGAACTTGTTCAAAGACACCTGTGCATTTCACACTGATGAATCAAAATTTTTCCGTTACCTCTAGAAAGCAAATGATTATACCCTCCAGTAGAGATGCAAGCTTGCTGGAAACTCTTCTTAAAAATATCTCATCTGCTTCTTCACAGAGAAAGCATGTACTCCTGAAACCAGTTTGCCCACACTTTGTTGCTTTGGTTTGTTCGGGTTTTTTTAAATACACATATTTCCAGAAATTATTCCAGTCCAAACAGGTGGATAAAATAAAATAGCACTGTTACACTCCAGAAACATAAAAATTGTTCCTTTCTCATGTCTCGTCTCTAGTAGACAGAAAATCCTAAAACACTGGCAATCCTTAAAACAACAGTGTTTGCAGGCAGCACAGAACTTAATTTCAAAGATGCATCTAACAGATTGGCCAGGTCTAGAGACAAAAGTAGAAGTTAGGGCTGGAAAGGACCTTAAGATCATCTAGTTCCAACCACCATTCCACATGCCATGGGCAGGGACACCTCACACTAAACCATATCACCCAAGGCCTCATCCAACCTGGCCTTGAACACTGCCAGGGATGGAGCATTCATAACCTCCTGGCCAACCTATTCCAGTGCCTGAACACCCTAACACGGAAGAATTTTCTCCAATCTAAACTTCCCCTGTTTAAGTTTTAACCCGTTACCCCTTGTCCTGTTACTACAGTCCCTAATGAAGAGTCCATCCCCAGCATCCCTATAGGCACCCTTCAGATAC